GCAACTCAGGCATGTGCCTTGACTGGAATCGAACCCAGAACCATTCAGTCACAGCCCGATGCTCTGTCCATTGAGCCAAAGAAGCTAGGGTGGGAGGAAGCTATAAAACCACATGTCCAGTAACTCTCTGTCCATGAATAGCACGCATATTTCTGTCATGTGACTCAAAATAAGTCCAGCTTCCTCCCTTCACCCAGTTCCACAGTCATGTCCATATTTATGGGTAGCTTCCCAGCAGCTCTCCCCTCTGGAACCAGAACCTGCTCCAGTCCCTGTGGCTGCTATAGCCAGTCCACATGGATAGTGGAGGCTCAGCATTTTCTGGGAGTTCTTTGTAAAATCACCCAAAATACAACCCATTAAAGAAAATATTATTAAGTTAGCCTTGGTCAAAATTAAAGAATTTTATCTCATCAAAGATTCCATTAAGCAAAATAAAACATAACAAAGAAATTTCCAAATCATATGTCTGATATGAGAACATATAAATTACATATTAAGGATGTTGTATGTTTGTGGGAGAGACCAGAACCCTTTGATCACAGTGAACTCCCAGGGGTAGGGAGAGGGAGGCTGGGGGTGAAGGATTCCTCTCAGGGATGAAGTTTCCTTTCCTGTGAGAAATTCTATGGTAGGAATTCTCTTCCCTCACCTCCCGCTGAGCCTCAACATCACTGATAACACTAAAATAAGAAAACAGGTAAAAGTTCTTCCATCATCATTTCAACATATGAATGATTCTGAGTTGTACGCATACATGATCAATGCTTTTATTTCTTGTTTTTCTCCACTCAAAGCCATGACTATTGCTGATGTAACTAGTTAGGGGGTCTCTGCAATAGGCCACGGGCTTGCACAAAGGAAGAGTTTGCACTGGAAGCTGTAGACACAATCACAAAATTTCCAACAAGAATCAAGAATGCCCCACCTGCCTGTGCTTAGGAGGTAGACTCTCAGATCAAAGTAACATATAAATTAATGTATAAGATATTCAGAATGACTATACTTTATCTTTTCTTTTTTGCACAAAGGTAGAAATTATTTTTATGAAATAACAATCTGGAAATTATAGACACACCAGAGTGTTCAGATTCAGAAATGGTCTGAACAAAAGCTAATCCCTTTTGCATCTGTTTGAAAGATGCCTGGGAAGGTTAAAGTGTAACCTGCTCATCTAGTCCATGTTTCTTCTTATGCTCAGAAAGGTGAGGCCGTGCTTTGACATGAATCCAATGTGTCTCATGACCCATATGGTCCCCTGACCCACACTTACTTGCTGAATGAGGTCAAGGGAAGAGATGCCTCCACACAGGCCCCAGTAAGACCAGGGTAGCCTGACCTCAGGCCCTACACTTATAAGAAAAGGGATGACCCACATGTAAATTTCTGTTCAAGCACCAGGGTAAATCCTCTCCTGGGCTGTGCAGGCTCACAGCTCGCTCCTCACACAAGGCTGAGGTCTCTGGGAAGGCAGATCTGTGGTCTAGAAGAAGATGAGACTGCTGGGTCTTCTCCTGTGCCTGGTGACAGCCCCCCCAAGGTGAGGTCTCAGTGGTCAGACAGGGGTCATGGGATGGCTGTGACTGCATGTGACTGACAGGGACTAATGCTCCTTGTCCCCAGGTGTCCTGTCCCAGGTGCAGCTGCAGGAGTTGGACCCAGGACTGGTGAAGCCCTCATAGACCCTCTCTCTTACCTGCACTGTCTCTGGTTACTCCATCACCAGTAATTACCGCTGGAATTGGATCTGCCAGCCCCCAGGAAAGGGGCTGGAGTGGATAGGGGGCATACTTTATGGTGGAGACACTAAATGCAGCCCTTCCCTCAAAAGCCGAACCTCCATCTCCAGAGACACATCCAAGAACCAGTTCTTCCTGCAGCTGAGCTCCGTGACCACCAAGGACAGGGCCGTGTATTACTGTGCAAGAGACACATGAGGGGAAGTCAGTGTGAGCCCATACACAAACCTCCCTGAGGGAGACAGCTGGGCTGGGATGCAGGGGGCTCTCCGGACACCAGGGGGCGCTCAGGGCCCACAGCATAGAGAGCAGCCCCAGGAGCAGGGGCAGAGGGAGGTGGGGAGGAAGGGCCTTCCTGTTGGGCTCAGGGATTTCCTCTCAAGCTCTCATCTGCCTCCAGGGATGATTCTTCCTTCTCATATTCTCACTGCAGACAAAGATGAAGAAGGGACATTGTCTGTTCTCAGGTGACTTGTTAGCAGCGATGGGGTCTCTCCTTCATCAGGTCTCCTTCACAAATTCCAAAAGTGACTTTTTTCACTAACTTTTCAATGTTTCACTGCTGAGTGTAAACCCCGGAGGTGTGTTGCTGGCACTGGGCTGTGTTCACTGCTCTGCCTCACTCCCTTTCTGGTCACAGCTCCCTCAGGGTCTGACTCTCCGTGTGCCCTCTCCCCTCCTGGTTCCATGGAGATCACAGGGCCCTCCCTCTACTGAAAGGTCTGAGCTCACTCAGGGCTGATGGACCTCACCCATCCTCTCTTGGTCCACATTGATCCCCAGAAGAGCTGTCAGCTCAGTGCACCAAACACAGGGAGCCCCCACATCCATCCACAGGAGGGGCCCCTGTTGTTTTGCAGAAAGCAGTGCTAACCCCAAAGTGGGGACAGGTGATCCTGAGGGCTGGGGTGTGCATCAAAGAACTCATCACTCCAGCTTTCCTCCTGGATCCAAGGTTTTCTAACTTCACTGTGGGTGAGATGTGCATCGGGGGCATGTTGGAAGCCGAGGAGCATCCATGGGACCCCCTGCATCCATGGGACCCCCTGCATCCATACCCTCTTCTTACTACTTCCCCAGGAAATACAGAGTCACATAGACACACACATAGAGTCACAAGCAGTCAGAAACACAGACACACATAGTTACAAACACAGTCACACACAGTCGCATGCGCATTTCTGGAAAAGACATGCATTCACACATGAGCAGTGATACAAAACCGTTCTTCTCATTACACACTGTACTTTATGAATTCTAAATAAGAAAACATGGTTATATTTCATTCTCTTGGATGCCATATGAAATAAAGCAACTATTATTTCAACACTGGTCTGAAAGCAACTATTATTTCAACACTGACCACACTCTGTGAAGATCAGCAGTCATGTTTTTCAGTCTACGTGGTAGGTGCTCAAATTAGGGGTTTGATCCCAACATTGCTAGATTGTTATGACTTAAAACAACAACAACACAATTCAAGTAATAGTGAAAACCTTCCTACACAAAATAGCCAAGGGCCAAATGGACTCAAGGGTGAGTTCTACCAGAATTTCAAAGAAGAACTTTTTAAATTTTTTAATCCACTCTTCTTGAACTCTTCCAAGAATTAAGAGGCAACACTTTCAAAGAGATTTATTGAGTTTAACATTACACTGATATAAAAGCCATCTAAGGACACACAAAAATGACAGATCAGTGTCCCAGAGGAACATAAATGGAAAAATCTTCAATGATATTCTAGAAAACGTACCAGCAGACAGAAAGGATAATATACCATGATCAAGTGGGATACCATACCACCATGTAAGGATGGTTCAACATATGTAAATCAGAAGACATGATACATCTCATCCACAGAATGAAGGAAAAATTATACCACCATATAATTAGATACATAATAAAGCCTTTAAAATTGAAAATCGCTTCAGACTTACAATTTTTAACAGATTATGTGTACAAGTGATGGAACTCAATAGAATAAAGGCTGTATTTGAGATACCAAGTGACATCATGCTACACAGAGAAAATTTCAAAACTTTCCTTCTTACTTAAGGACCAAGACAAGGGATCCCCTGTGACTACTTATATTTATCAAAACTGGAAGTACTTGTCAGAATAATTAGACAAGAAAAGGAAATTTAAAATGTCTAAATCAGAGAGAAACAAGTTAAAATATTTCTCCTTATCTTTATGCCAATGACAAGATCTTGCACATAGAAAACCCTATAAACTGTATGAGAAGCTAATAGTACTAGAATTCAGGAAAGATGTAAGATACAAAACCAATACACAAATGACTTGTGCTCCTGCACACTCTAAACAAAGTGCCATCATGACTCTAGGAAATATGTGGTCTGTTTCAGAAGAAAGTGAGAAAAGAAAATGTGAACTGGCTAAACATCAAGGAGGTGACAACATAATGAAATAAGAATCCTGGACATGTGTGTCCTGTCTTGGTTAATCACCCATCATGTTCCCAGGTAGCTTTCCCACAAATGTGGCACTGAGTCAGGTTTCCAATAACAAGATTTTCATAACTTCAACATTATTACTCCCTCATCTTTACCTACAACTTCAGCACAACATCCTAGTTTTGACTGAGTTTCATCTAAATCATCAATGATAGACACAGGTCTCACAAGTGAGCATACAGGATAAACTCCAAAAAGGAGGCTGTGCAGAGGCTACACATCAAGCACCAAACACCCCTGAAGGACAATGAACCAGGAGCTCTGTCTGTGCTTCTGGCTCCCAGGAACCCACACAGAAGCTCCTCTCTCCCCCATCACTTGGGCCACTGGCTTTAGGCTCAAACTCTGGTCTTAGTTTATCCTCTGATCACTTTGTAGGGAAAATAGTGTCAGATGGGACTTCCTGTCTCCTGAACATGAACCTCATGCACTTTTACCTCTTTCTTGCATTATGAGGGTTGCTTTCTCTTGGTTTCAATTCTGGTGACTGCAAAAGGCATCTCTCATTTTAAATCTTCTCTCTTCTTTTCATGAAAATTTTCTCTCCTGAATCTTTGTGCAGGTCATGTGCAGCAGTTAAATCCAGTGGGGAGGGCACAGGCCCAGATGTGAAAAGTAATTCTTAATAAACAGCACCCTTGGAAATTTCACACTCTAAGACCATGTCCGTAAGATCAGTGTCTAACTCTAGAGCCACCTATATAGTAGGCAGACATGCAAATAAGGCCCCCTCTGCTCATAAAAATCAGCCCAACCCTCACCTTGCAGGTCTTGGACAGGAGCCCAGCCCTGGGATCCCCAGTGTTCTCATTGCCAGATCAGGACTGAACACAGATCACTCACTATGGAGTTTGGGCTTGGCTGGGTTTTCCTTGTGGCTCTTTTAAGAGGTAATTTATGGAGAGCGAGAAACACTGAGCCTGGAGTGGACATGAGTGAGAGAAACAGTGGGTGGGTGAGAGTTTCCTGACCAGGATGTCTTTGTGTTTGCAGGTGTCCAGTGTGAGGTGCAGCTGGTGGAGTCTGGAGGAGGCTTGGTGCAGCCTGGAGGGTCTCTGAGACTCTCCTGTGCAGCCTCTGGATTCACCTTCAGGAGCTACGGGATGAGCTGGATCCGCCAGGCTCCAGGGAAGGGGCTGGAGTGGGTGGCAGTTATATGGAATGATGGAAGTCAGAAATATTATGCAGACTCTGTGAAGGGCCGATTCACCATCTCCAGAGACAACGACAAGAACACGTTGTATCTTCAAATGAACAGCCTGGGATCCCAGGACATGGCCATATATTACTGTGTGAGAGACACAGTGAGGGGAAGTCAGACACAAACCTCCCTGAAGGAGAGGCTGTGACCACCAGGGGGCGCTCAGGGTCCCTGAAAAAAAAGACCAGCCCAGCAGCAAGTGTAGTTATAGGTTTGGGCTGGTTTCCTGTGTGGTTTCCTCTTCTTGTCACAATTTCCCTCAGGGAATCTCTGGATTCCTGACTCTGCACTTACCTCTAACGTCTCTGAGTTAAAAAGTCTGTTGTAAACAGAGACAACTTTCTCACATCCTATCTAATAAAAGAGTAATATGCAAATTAACCATCACTTCCTCACTCCGTCACTCCCTCACTCCATCACGAAGATGGTGGTGGCCACAGAGCTGCAGGGAGAAGGAGGCTTGAGTTGCCCCGGAGATGGAGGAAGCCAAGCTTCCTGCCTGCCTTGCCAGCCCTGGGCTATGCTCACGGCTACAAAGTTTTAATTATAAAAGATAAATAAATCCCAAATACCTGCTTCTAGCCCATGGGCGTGGCCAGGCCTGAAAACAGCCCTCAGCCCCTCACCCAGGCTGTCCAGGCACCCCAGTAGGGACCCACACCCTGAAGGGGATGTGGACAGCCTGAAAACAGCCATCAGCCCCTCACCCAGGTTGTCCAGGCACCCCAGTGGGACCCCCCACTCTGATCTGGGACACCCTTCAGGGAAAACCAGCCAGCCCTCACCCATGCACCATGCCTCTATCTATCCTATCTAATAATAGAGAAACATGGTAATTAACCGTAACTTCACTACCCTTCCCATTGGCTAATCAGCAAGATATGCAAATTAACTGCCAACCAAGATGGCGGCCAACAGCCACACAGTTGAAGCGAACATGAGGCTTGCTTGCTCCAGTGACGGAGGAAGCCAAGGTTCCCCGCCTGCTGCAGCCCAGCTCTGAGCTCTGGATGCAACAATGTTGCAATTATAGAAGCTAAACAAACCCAGAAACCTGCTTTCAGCTGCCAGCGGGCTCAGAGCTTAGAGCACCAGTGATGGCAACAGAGTTTCAATTATAGAAGCTAAACAAACCCAGATACCTGCTTTCAGCCAGCCACAGCCTCAGAGCTGGAGCTGGCTCTCAGCTCCAGTGACAGCTATAGAAGGTAAATAAATCCCAGAATTAAAAAAAGAGGCTGGGAGCTTCAGTCGCCCACCAGCCTGAAAACAGCCCTCAGCCCCTCACCCAGACTGGCCAGGCACCCCAGTGGGGACACCCACCCTGAAGGGGGTTTGACCAGCTGCAAACAGCCATCAGCCCCTCATCCAGGCTGGCCAGGCACCCAAGCGGGACCCCCACCCTGATCCATATCACCCTTCAGGGCAAACCAGCCGGCACCCACCCGTGCACCAGGCCTCTATCCTATATATTAAAAGGGTAATATGAAAACTGACTCTAACAGCAGAAAGACTGGGAATGACTGGTCACTATGACACACACTGACCACCAGGCGGCAGATGCTCAATGTAGGAGATGCCCCCTGATGGTCAGTGCTCTCCCACAGGGGGAGCTCTGCTCAGCCACAAGCCAGGCTGATGGCTGCCAGTACAGTGGTGGTGGTGGAAGCTTCTCCTGCCTCCTCAGCAGCGCTAAGGATGTCTGACTACAGCTTAGGTCTGCTCCCTGCTGGCAAGTGGGCATCCCCTGAGGGCTGCCGGGCTGCCAGAGGAATGTCTGATTGCCATCTTAGGCCCAATCCCCTGGGATGAAGGCCTATGCCAGCAAGTGGTCACCCCCGAGGGGTCCCAGACTGTGAGAGGGCACAGGCCGGGCTGAGGGACCCCCTACCCCCGAGTGCACAAATTTTTGTGCAACGGGTCTCTAGTCTTATATAATAAAAGGGTAATATGCAAATTGACCCTAACAGCAGAACAACTGGAAATGACTGGTCTCTGTGACACACACTGACCACCAGGGGGCAGATGCTCAATGCAGGAGATGCCCCCTGGTGGTCAGTGCGCTCCCACAGGGGGAGCTCTACTCAGCCACAAGCCAGGCTGATGGCTACGAGCACAGCGGTGGTGGTGGGAGCCTCTCCCACCTCCACAGCATCTCTAAGGATGTCCGACTGTAGCTTAGGCCTGCTGCCCACTGGCAAGTGTTCATCCCTCGAGGGCTCCTGGGCTGCCAGAGGGATGTCTGACTGCCAGCTTAGGCCTGTTCTCATGGGGAGCGGGCCTAAGCCAGCAGGTGGACATCCCCAGAGGGATCCCAGACTACCAGAGGGCACAGGCCAGGCTGAGGGACCACCCCCCAAGTGCACAGATTTTTGTGCACCAGGCTTCTAGTGCACAATAAGCAGTGAGTCTCTTTCAAACACTCTTTTGCCCAAATGACAATTAATGATCAAATCTGCTGACCAACGTCCCCTAAATCTTACCAGAGACTCAGATTACTAAACAGTGCAGCTCACCTGAATGCTGGACAGAGGCCACCACTGGTATGTGAACCCAAAGTTAGAGAAGAAGGACCCCAGTGGTGCTGGGTATTGAATTGTCATCAGGCTTATAGCTCGGAGAGTAGATGACACCAGACAGATGAAGAGGGACCCACAGCAGCTTGGTGAAGATTTCCAGGCTGATGACAAATACACACACCAAGGGACATGGAGTGTTTATTATGCACATAGTTGAAATATATGGGAGGCACAGGAAAGGCCCTTTAGGAAGTCATACCTGCTTTTATGGAGCCAGGAAAAGGACACTGGCCCAGGGATTTTATTATAGTGAACTGGTAGGGGAGGGGAAGAATTCCTCCTTCAGAGCCTTGTGTGGTTTCAACCTCTTATTGACATCTGGAGGTGAGACCCAATGTTCCTTTTCAGATTCCCATGCGAGGCCAAGTGAGAAGAGGCAGGAAGGAGATATCAATTTACTGACATCAAATGGAAAACAAAATAAAATGTGGCTACATATTTTACTTAGCAATTATTAAAATTGAGCAACCTTTAAGATAAACCAACGTCTACTATAACTGAGAAAATTAATTATAAATAGGCAAATGATGATGATAATGGTGGTGGTGGTGGTAAGGGTGGTGATGATGACCATAGAATTATATAGGGCAGCGGTTTTCAACCTGTGGGTCGTGACCCCTTTGGGGGTTGAACGACCCTTTCACACCCTTTCACAGGGGTCACCTAAGACCATCAGAAAACACATATGTAAGTACATTATGATTCATAACAGTAGCAAAATTACAGTTATGAAGTAGCAACGAAAATAATTTTATGGTTGGGGGTCACCACAACATGAGGAACTGTATTAAAGGGTCGCGGCATTAGGAAGGTTGAGAACCACTGGTATAGGGGGTTGGTCCATTGTCTCAGGTGGGATCTCCCCTCTATCCAAGGCCATCAGCTGCTTGCAAGGCCCTGTATTAAATTTTAGGTGAGGCTGCTGTCATTTAAATTTCCAATGACATCAAGAGAGGAGTCACCTCATTTTATTATTTGATAAAAAGCCATTGTGTGTGGATAACCACAATGTCTACAGAATATGAGAATGATTATATAAGTAAACAAATCTTGTTGATGCTGCTGCTGCTGATGATGATGATCATGATGACGATGGTGAAGACAATGAACTGAGAAATGTGTCTTGGTAGAACGAAATGAAGGCTCCAATCACAGACACACCATCACTATGGCTCCTCCAGTGTGGAGTGTCAACTCTTCAACGTAAGTGTTGAGAGATTTCATAAATGGCATGCAAAATTTTCAGATGTCAGTGGTTCATGTTGAGACCATATGAGTAATGATACAAATGTGTCCAAGTGCAGATCCCCTGGACCTGGGAAGGGGTTACCTTCTAGAACAAAGACACTGTGAGAATGTGCATGTGGGAAAAAGGGAATCCCCTTCCCACCAGTTTGCAATAACACATTCCTTATTTCTCTTAATCCTTAACGTTTCTATTTCTAACAAATTCCTGCTCATCATTATTCCAGCATTTTCTATAATACAAGCTGTCTCTATCATGCCCTGCACTGACTTATGAACCTTCACTGGAGGAGGCTTTAAACCTGTATGTCCAGTAACTCTGACCATGAACATCAAGCACATTTCTGTCATGTGACTCAAAACAGTCCAGGTTCCCCCCTCACTCAGTTCCATAGTCACATCCAAATGTATGGGTAGTTTCCCAGCAGCATTCCCCTCTGGTACCAGAACCTGCTCCAGTTCCTGTGGCTGTTGTAGCCAATCCATATGGACAGTGGAGGCTCAGCATTTTCTTGGGAGTTCTTGGTAAAATTACCCAAAGCAAGACCCATTAAAAATAGTGATGAATTGAACTTTAATAAAAGTAAAACATTTGTTCCACCAAATATTCCATCAAGGAAATTAAATGACAAGCTGAGCAAGAGAATATCTTTCTTGTGCATGATGAGAGAATGTATGCATTACGCATTAAAGATGTTGAATGTTGTGGGAAGAGAGAGCCCAGCACCCTCTGAACACAGTGAGCATCCCCAGGGACAGGGACGAGGGAGGCTAGGAATGAGGGTTTCCCGACAGGGTTGAAGCTCCCTTTCTTGAGAGAAAATGAATCCTAGGAATTATCCCATTTCCCTCACTCTTAACCCCAACATTACTGATAACACTAGACTGAGGAAACAGGTCAATCTTCCATCATCATTTCAACATATGAATTATTTGAGGCTGTACACATACATGATCACTATGTTCATTTCTTGTGTTTTCTCCATTTAAAAATCATGACTATTTCTGATATAACTAGTTTGGGGACTCTGCAAACAGAAGAGTTTGCACAGGAAGCTGTAGACACAATGATAAAATTTGCCACATCAAGAATCAGGAATGTCCCACCTGCCTGGGATGGTTGCAGGAGTTTCTCAGATCAATGTAATGTGGTAAATTCACACATAAGATATTAAAAATGTCTGTCCTTTGCTTTTAATTTTTTGCACAAAGATAGACAGTATTTGTATAAGGTGAGATTTAAAAATTTATAAATTGTGGGTACACTAGGGTTCTGAGATTCAGAAATA